AAAACAGTTATGATAAATTTATATAAGTAAAAAAAAAAGAGATAAATGATCAATAATTTATATAAATATAATGTATAATATCTATATGTAAATAAATCCTTATTTTTAATAAAATATTATTTAAAATTATATGACCTTAAAAAAATAATAAAATAAAATAAGATCGTATATGACCATAAGCACAACCCACTAGCACGCATACTACGCTATAAACTAACACGAACACTCTACCAATCTTAAAATGGAAAATTAGGACTCTGAGAGACAATTTCCCACGAGATCAAAGACTTTGTCTTCCTAATTCAAAATTCTCCTTGTCACCTCTCCAACCATTTTTCATGGATGGAGACTTGGGTGGGAGTGGGTGCCCCATCAAACTTCCGCAACCAAAACTAAAGTCTTTCTCCCTCCATTGCCTTCAATGTTGTGGAAGAATTTTTTCTTCTCTTTGTTTTCAATTTTGTTATTGTTTGTAACTAAAGTAGGTACATAAATTTTAATTAATTAAATGTACTAATATCTTCTACTTAAAAAATAAAAAAAAGTAAATTTTTAGGTTGACATAAAAAAAAAAAAAAGAATGTTTATGAAAAAACTTTCTCAGCCACCTCTCCTCTTTCTCTCTCTCTATCCCTTATCCCTTCCCTTCTCTCTTGGTTCTTCTTCCTTCTTAGCTGCTGCCTCTATCCCTCTTGGTAGTTAGAGAGGATATATAAATGTGGGATTATCTCCTTCTAGTAAAGGATTTTCTCTCTTAAAGAGATTTTTCACTTTCTTTTAAGAGTTTATGCCTAAACTTACTTTCTTGATATGTCTTATAGAGTTTTTTTTTTTTTAATAAAGAATGAAAATAACATAAATTTGAGACTGCATAGGCTCGGTTTGATTACAACACTTCCATTAGCTGTCATCAACATGATTGGGGGTTGGGGTCCTTGGTTAATTTTTTGCCCAAAAATTGCAATCGTGTCCTAGAAAATGATGTAAGATAAGTGTGTTTGCTAGATATGACAGGAAATTTTCACTACAATTTTTTTTTTATTAATCTCTCAGTATATGCTAACCACATTAGATTTTTATTAATTCTAACCACATTAGATTTTTATTAATTCGGAATCAAGTTGCGTCAGACTCCATTTGGGGGAAAAACTTTTTTAGTGCCTGTTTCTCTATTCACAAGACTCAAAGTCGAGATTTTATTTAAGGGAAACCAAACCCCTTCTATTCGAACCAACATGTTATTAGTACTTCTCCTTTTCTTTTTAATAACATTGAGTAATTATTATAATCTTATTTTTTTACATTAATTTATCATCAAAAAATTTATATTAACATAATAAACAAAATTTGCTAATTAAGTGAAATAATTAAAAATTTGTTGTCTTTATTTAAAAACAATATTATTTTTTATGTTTAAAAAATACAAATGAGTTTTTAATTCAATCTTAAATATTTTATTTTCTTATTATTATTTTTACAAAATTAGTTATTTTAATAATCAAAAATATAAAAAGAAAAATAAATAAATTTAACTACTTTTAAGCATGCCTTTATTAGTAATTTAATATCAAATAACAACTTTTAATTATTGTATAATTGATATATCAATCAATATCTACTATTTATTATTTACAATCCACTTTTTATTATTTACAATTTGTTAACTGTTATTTACTCTCGTTATTTATTAAATTTTAATCATGTACCCAATAGACCCTTAATTATATCATAGTGAATTTTTAATTTTGTATTTAACCAATAAATTTGTAATTTGTGACATATTAATAAAGAAATGTTAGATAGCTCAATTGAAAAACTAATCAAAATGATTAAGAGATAATTTTTTATATAATTTTACATGTCAATTTTTTTTATACTCTCTTCACTTTATGAAACTTATGATGATGAATATATCTATTTATTTAATTATATATAAAAATTATATAAAATATTTTAAAAACAAATCTGCAATCATTACCCAAAAGCTAAATATTGAAAAGAAGTTAAGAGGAGTGAAGAAGCACTTGGGTGGTAATTGGTCCGACTTCATTTTTTTTTTTTTTTCTTTTAAGAAAAAATGCACTCAAACCTTATAAGTCGAGTGCCTGTCGTGCAGCTAATATTTCTAAAAATAAAGTTAGAGGTTGAACAACAAAGTTTCTGTTTCATTTTTACTACTTGAAGATAAGTTAATGACCGTTGTATGAAAGGACCACTGAATATAAATGCCAATTGCCAAAAAAATAAAATAATAATAATAATAATAATAATAAAACAAAGGGGACCATTGCAAATATCGGCATGCAGCAGCCTAGGCCCTACACAATCCGATGCAAATGTTGTTTTTCCCGATCCTGGTAGCCCGCGTTAACATCTATTGTAATTCAGTACAGCCTAATCAACCTACATCCTATAATTATAAAACAGTACAAAATCTGATGGTCATATATAATTTAAGTTGTTTGACATTGATAATTATTTAAATAATTTAATAATAATTTTTTTAATAAAAATAAAATATTTTAATCTTAAAACATATGATATAAATGTAAAATAGGTTAAAAAATATGAGATAATTATTTTTATTATAAAATTTAAATTAAAATGATTGTTAGTTAATCTTGAATTTTATATTTTAAATTGTATTAAATTATATAATAAAAATAATTAAATAAAAAACTTTAATATTAAAAAAAATTATTATTTAATAATTTTTATTTTATAATTTGATATAATCTAAATGAGCCAACAACTTCTTATACTAATTATGTAGCAAAAGGAATTTTTTTTTTTCCTAGTAGGCATCTACCAAAAAGAAAGTAACTTGCCATGTAGCATCTTCTTTTATTCAATGTGGGAGATTAGGTTCTCCTTTGCATAAATCTCATACTTTTAGGCTCGAAAATTACGAAGTTGTTAGTTTCACCTTTAAAATATTTCATTTATCAAATATGTCCTCATAGATAGGAGAGGGTCATGTTAGATGTGTAAACGTAAACGGTGTTCTACGTAATGGTTATGTCATGTCAAATATAATAAAGTATAAAACATCTCAATACAATTTGATATCTCCTCATTTATTGGAACTTTATAACTACAAAAGGTCTTAATAAAATTTAGACTCATTTTATTATTATTATTATTATTATTATTGTGCCAAAATTTTATGAATTTGTTATACATTGTTAAGTAAACAATTATTATGCTCTAGATTTTTTTGCATGTCATTCATCTATTAAAACCTTAGTAATGAGGGATCTATCATCAAATAGCCATATGGACCTAACTGTTTTTTAGACTTAATGTTACATTATAATTATAAATTTTTTATTTTATATGACATTATAACTGTAACATTTTTTTATCTCTCCCATGACTCTAAGATGTCCACTACAGCTCAATTAAGAACAAAATTATTTTAGGGGTTAATTGATAATTTCAGAAAAGATCAAGGACCTTAGTTTAGTTCTAAAAGGAAAATACCATATGTTGTCTTGTTCTTTCTTCGAGGTCAGTCAAAGCACTCACTCAGTCCATTAAAAAAACCCAGAAAGAAAAAGATCACCCCAATGGGGCGTTGCCTCACAATCTCTTCTCTCCCCAGTCTCGACATTACCAAACGCAATTCTGGTTCTATCAGAGGACAAGACACAAAATTTTATTACAGACAGAACAAAAATTTTTTTTCATTTTTCGATTTTATTTTATTGTAATAATATAATAATACGATTTTGTCCCATATTTTTAAACAACTTTCCCTGAAAAGACAGATGGAAGACTTAGCAACTTGCTTGTACTAATTCTTCTTCCCAGTCCCGTCTCTACCTGTTTTGATGAAATGCCACACCGAACCATCTCCTCTTGGGCCTCCTTGGAATTGCAGAGATTGTCAAAGGCAGCATAAAAAAGAGACATAACCACATTAACTAGTTAACTAGTAATAAATATGGGTCTTCTTTATGGGACTCAAGGAGGGCTGCCAACGATGCCCACAAAAACCCGGTTAAGTGATGGTGGTGGCAAATGCATCCCCTGTTCCTGCCTTCCACTGCCTCTATTCTTCTTAAACACAGGCTCCGGCGGTGACTCCACAGCCAATGAGTCATTTGAGCTGTCACTGCTAAACATAGCATTGATAACCCCACTGGGACTTCTAGCAACTGAAATCTTGCAGTATTTGCGCTTCTGGGGTCTTGACAAGTCCAGAATGAGCTTGTAACACTCATTTACTTGTTCCTGAATTACAATGAAAAAATACAAAGAATGTGTTAATAATTGGGATATTAATGACGGGTTAAGTACATCATAATGGAGAAACTGAATCTGTAATGATGAGATGAGACAAACCTTGCTTATTTTAAGAACACCCAGAAGTTGGTTTTGGTAGTCAATGGAGTGGGAAGGGTCGACTTGTTCTATAACGTGCATCATAGTTGCAGTGGCCAATACAGAGGGGAGAAAACGAACGGATCTTGAATCTACAAATAATCAGAGAAATGATGAGAAAAACCAAAAGGGTAATATACTATGATTGTGTCCTGTTCCTGTTAAAAATGAGATACTCACCCGAGACTACAGAGAGGAGGAGACGCTCACACCGCTGGAGAAACTCCCAGTGGAGATGGGTTTTCAAGCCAAGCCTCCGTATGATGTGATCGAGGAAGGAAAGAGGGGTCACCGGATGCATCTTCCATTGAAGGGAAGACAGAACCAAAAGCTCCATTCTTTGGATGGTTTTGGCCTCAAACACATACTTTGTTTCCTCCACCTGAAACAGAACGGAACAGAGCGAACATTAACCCATTTAGGATGAAACAGAAGGGACACGTCAAAGACTGACGTCGGAATATTAGACATACTTGAAGATCTAGTAGAAGAGGCACTTGGATCTCTTCAATTTTGGCAGCCAAAGAAAGACAAGTCACAGCCACAAGCTGGATCATCCATGGCATGTCCCTTTGAAAATGGAGCCCAGACAGGAACCTGTCCAGATAATTGATGGCCAAAACAGCCGTGGGGGTGGTGAACCCATAATGGGCATTGACCTTCAGCATCCACTCCACAGCTTCAGCACGAGCCAAAGACAGAGAACCATCAATTTCCAGATTGTACTGATTCAGATGGTTCCCCTGTTCCTTGGAGAACAGAGAAAGAAGCTCCTCATCTTCCCAGAACAAATCCTGCTCCAACAGGAAAAGTTGGAAGAATGAGCCACCGCCATTGCTATAGCTTCTAGGGTTCTCCTCCTCTAAAACCTCCTCTGCTTCATCTTCCCCTTCTCCATCTTCCCATCTCTCCTCTTCACAATACAGAGAATCCAGAAGGGAAGAAGGGTTACGTTCAGCTTGTTGAATTGACATCTTCAAAGAAGAAGAAGAGAGGTACACTGTTAATTGTCAAGTCCAGTTGCAGAAATACTACTTCTGCTCATTATACAAAAGAAAAACTCCATCGATTAAATTGAAGAAGAAAAGGAGAGGCAAGAAGTTCATATCATCTCACTTTCTTTTCTGAGGTATCTGTGAAGAAGAGCAGAAGACTGAGCCTAAGGAGAAAGAAAAGAAAAGGAAGGGATTGATTTTGAGCAGAGTGGGTATCATGGTTGTCCTTTATTGATTGAAATATAATAATTTTTGTGAATTTTTGTGAATTTTTGTAAATATTTTGGGGTTTTGGAAAATGTTTTGTGCTTTCGGTGGGTCTCTCGTTGGCGGGCAGAAAATATAACGGCACACACACCAAGCCGGACCCCATGAAAACAACAGCATAGCCTTTGTTTTGGAAACAAAAGGTAGATTTATGCAGACGATGTAAATGGCTAGGGTTAAGCTTTGTATGGGAAAACTAGGAGCCGATTCCACGCATACGTGTGATTTGTCTAAATTTTTTAGATTGATCAAATTTTTATCAAAATATAAACATATGTTTTAAAATCAATTGGATAGTAGAAAAAAATATATACATATATGTAATATAATTCAGATTGCATAATTTGAACGGTTAAATAGAGATTAAATATTTTAATATAAATAGCTATTTCTTATTTATGTGTTTAAAATTATAATTCAAATATAATCTGAATTGTAAAATAAGACTTTTTAATAAAAATAATAAAAATTTATATTAGGATAACCTACTAATTAAAAATATATTTGATTTAAAAGAAATTGAGAATGGAGGAGAGATAATTTTTTTAGTTAATTAAATTATAATGTTTACCAATGATATAATTTGATTAATTAAAAAAATCATCATTTCCATCCTCACCCCTCAAATAATCATACACTTTAGGATAACTTTAAAAAAAAAGAGGGTAATATGAACTTATCAGAGATTACTACAGTAACCCAATTCAATTTTAATTTGATTAAAAGAGTCTTCCCTTCTATAATATAAATTACATTAAATTACAAAATATGAATGATAAGGTGGAGAAGGGCCCATATGTTTAAAATCATTACTAAAGTAAAGTGTTTTTAAGTCTGATTGTCTCTAATTCTCTTAATACACTCTTTCCTTAATTCCTCTACCGCATCTTTTCTTTTCGTGGGTCCTCACCAACCTGCTCTTAAGAGCACGGCATGGACGACCTAGGAGGTCTCCTTGGTTAATTTGCTGAGAAATGGATTTAGGACTTGTAATCCCATTTTTGCCTTCTCCTCTAGTTTTCATCGTGTGCTCAAAATTCTTATCTCAAGAGACCTGAATCATCATCTTTTGTTATCTTACAAAGAGGTACAGAAAAAATTGATAAATTTGATAGTAATTAAATAAAAAATGAGATGTCGGTGAGTAATTGCGATATAGAGGTTTACTATTATTATTATAATTATTTATTAACTGGTTATCGTATTTAACAATTTATGCATTGTTAAAAAATATATATTATATAATTTAAATTATTAAATGAGAAATGAGTTAGTTTTTATTTAATATTTCATTTTTTACAGTTTTATTTAAATAACAAAACAAAGTTCTCTTGTTAAAAAGGATATCATTTTATAAGAAACGAACAATACAAATGATAACTCCTAGTCACCAATCAAATGGTGCATTTTGGGTTGGAACCAAGAGAGAACATTGCACCTCTAAAGCTGCTTGGAGGATTTTCCTATGGAAGCCAAAAACCAAATCCGCAATGCTTGAGTATTCCATAATCGTTATATCCTGCATTTAACTTCTCTCTTCTCCTAATTATGTCCACTTGCTCATCTAAAAAATGAAAAGCAACAACTAGTGATTTTTAGCTGAAGCTCATAATTTGCATTCCATGATTCCATACTAATTTGTTCTGTATTGATAAAATATCTTACCGCAATGGTCCAAAGGACGCTCAGGATCCAGCTCAATACAAAGTAATAACCTCCTCTCATATTATGCAAAAAGAAAAAAAGAAAAAAAAAAAAAAAAAAAGGGCCCAGGGAGGGGAGAGGGAAATCCAATAAAAAATAGCATGATTGTTCTTTGTTTGACTCATATAAGTTAAATACTAGTACTAAAATCTGCAATTTTAATTTAGTCATGAATATAGATCACGGAGCTTATCATCAGTGAGAAAATTAAGCCTATTTCTTTTGATTTCATCATTAATGACCAAATTCAACATATTCATAATTCACCATTAAAAATCCATGTCACGGAAATTAGGGAGGAAGGAATAATTTATGTAGAGCAAGTAATATTAATTTAATTGTGAAAAAAGATAATTATCAAAGCACAAAATTATTCCAATTTGATATAGCACTTTTGAATTTTTTTTTTCTTTAACATAAAGATTAGAGTTTAAATCATAGATCTCTGACTAAGAGTACAAACTTTTATAATTTAATTGTAAACTCATCATCTTACTTTCTTTGTTCATTTTTAATAATCTTAATTTGATTTTTTTAATTTTTTAAACATAAATTTTAAATAAAATTTTAACAATATATAATTTATATGAATAACAATTAAATTTTTTCCTTATATATAGTTTTTATTTAAAATTTATGTTTAAACAAATAATTTAATTTTATTTAAAATTTGTATTCAAAATGTCAAAAAGTTAAATTACTAAAAATAAATAAATAAAGTACTATTTTAGAACTTACGTCAAAATGTAATACTCATCAATTGAGATATATGACACAAACTCAATCATTTTGTAAAATTTTTTATGGTTAAATTATTTTTAGTTTAGTTTTGTTTATTTAAAAATTATTCTTTCTTTTAATTTTCATAATACAACATCATTGACATCTACTAAAAGTATTAAAAAAACATTAAATTTTCATCAGTGCTGCTGCTAAAATTGAAACCCCAGTCATGTCTAATGTAAAATTATTTTTAGTTTAGTTGAGTTTATTTTAAAATTAATCTTTCTTTTAATTTTCACAAAAGTACATCTTCCACATCTATTTGATATACTAAAAAAATATTAAATTTCCATAAGTGTTGCTCTTAAAATTGAAACCCTAGTCATGCCTTATGTAAAACAACATTCACTATCATATTCAACTATTAGGTTAATTCAAGTTCTTTTAAATTATCACTACTAAGCTATCCAACTTGTGAGTAAATTATAAAGGTTCATGGAAAATAATAATTAAAAAAAATCCCCCAATTGATCCTTTCTTTCTTAAAATTAATTTATTAGTTATCATTTCTTCTAAGGAAAGAAGAATCACTCGGCATATTTGCAAATTGATTCTCCTGGAGGAAAATAAGTAAAAAAAATTAAAATAAAAAAGAAGGAGAGAGAGAGAAAGAGAATAAAATGTAAGGTGTTGGAAAGAATAAAAAATTTACATAAGAATAGTATAATTATCTGAAGAGAAGGATCTTTAATGACCTAAATTAATAATCTCAAAGGCAATTTTAGAAAAACGCAAAAGTAAAAGGGCACATAAAAATTAAAAAAAAGGGGTTAAAATCACAAGAGGATTTTGAGGGGATTTCACAAAACGACAAACTACTTGGTGTGTGAGACAGATGGAACCAGCTTCCGCAAAACACGGGGACTTGTCCTTGTCCACGCACTTTCTTCCTGTCACTCTTCACGCGCAGCTTCTAACGGACAACCCAAGGGGCAGTATGGATCTCCGAAAGGTTCTGATATTATTGGAAATTTTTGCTCAACAAATTTGATAAATTTTTTATGGTAATATCATTCTCTCAACAGAAATGATTTTTATTATATTGTTCTTTTCTCTCTCTTATCTGATTTAATTGTTATATTTTAATTTTACATAAATTTTAATTAAATGATTTTATATAATAAATAAAGAACAATTAAAATTTATTTTCAAACATCATTGTTATTGAATATTTTCATTAAAAACAAAAATAAAGTTTAATTGTTACTCATTTATTATATAAAATTTTCAAATTAATAACAATTAAAGCTAAAAAAATTTACATAAAGTTAAAATATTAGGATAATTAAAAAGCATTAATAATAATACAATAATTTATATAATGTGGTATGAATAAATATGTATGATTTTCATGTTATTTTAAATTATTTTAAAATTTTTAATATAATTGTAGGTAACTCTATTTATTCTATAAAAACACATATACTATGTCACGTTTGTGAATTGTGACAACAAATACATATAACTCTAAGACTTGATTATATATGTGTTGTTTTAAGTTTTATAAGATAAATAAAAACTTTAAATTTTGGAATTAAATCCCTAATTTGTTGAGAAGTTGGATGTATGAATAAAAAAGATAAATAATTTTAATAATAGATAAATATAAAATGACATTGTTTTAAATTCAAAAAATATATATATTTAAAGACATTCTCACCTTTAAAAAAAGTTTTAAAAAATTGCATATAAATGACGAATCCACATCCGGTTACCGTTTACCATTGGTTAAAAAATAGCGTAATTCGAGGCGCGTGATGACAAGCTCTGTTAGGCGAAGGTACAGAAAAGAAAGTGAAAGAGGAAGCTGACTCTTGTAGCTGTCTTCCTTTTTCATATTTTTATCGAAGTGGTCAAAAACATAAAAGTGTAAAACGATGTCGTTATGTCCCCCCGGCACTGATAGGATAGTAGGCATCTTTTTTCTGTCCATTTATATCGTGCACAGTACTTCGAATTGTAAATTTAATTCTGCACCGTCGTAGACGCAGGCTGTTCGGTTGGTGGAACGCAACTTTATAAAAAAAAAAAAAAAAAAATTTTAAGAAAATGGTTAGAAAAAATATTATATAAAAGATTAAAAGATATTATATAAAAAATT